AGTCTCAGATTATTGAGTTTCAGTGGGAGATGCGTGAACGTATGGACGCTCTCACTCTTGAAGTTCGAGCTCATTATCCTCCTCCTCCTGACCCTCCGATGGATTAGACATTTTCTCCATGCTTTCTTAGTATTTCAAACTTGGATTGTTTTTTATGTTTTTGGATTGTTTGTTTTGGATTGTTAAATGCTTGAATTTGTTATGGTTTGGATGATTGGATTTTGAACTTAATATATATATATTTGGTTTGGTTGAATTTTCTTATTTTTGCATCATTAGACATATATGACCAATTACGCCATTTCACATTTGATTATGAATATTGATTATGGAACTAATGGATAATCTCTCTTTTGATTGTGATCTTAGCAGCTTAAGCTACATATATATACTTATAATCAGTTGGCTATGTTCTCAAAACCTTGTTTAGATCAATTTTTGAGTCTTTTTGATTTAACAAAAAGGGGGAGAAATGTTAAGTGTTAAAATGTTTTAAAAGGGAGAAGTGTTATAGTAAGGGGGAGTAATTTTTCAAAATTGATTTCAAATTTTTAGAAAATCTTAAAATAACACAAATGTTTTTGTTATATCAAAAAGGGGGAGATTGTTGAAAACATTTTTGTGTTTCGATATAATAAATTAGTTTAAATGAATTTTAAGATTTTACAAATGATTTTCTAAGTATATTCGATTCAATTAATCGAATATCAAATTATTACTCCAAGTCTTTTAAGATCATTTCAACCTTACTAAATTTGTAAAATTGTGTTTATACTTAATATTTTTGAAACAATTTTCAAAGTATTTTGAACCAAAATCAAGCCTAAAATCAATTTTTCAGTGTGATGCACCGATGAACCAATCCATGCATCAATGCACCATGAATTAAATTGAACATCGAATGCATTTCATGCATCGATGCACATACCATGCACCGATGCACTGAGGATTTTATGAAAACATCGAATACATTTGATGCATCGATGCACCAGCCATGCATCGATGCACTCTGGCTATTTTGAAACATCGAATGCACTTGATGCATCGATGCACTCTTAGTGCACCGATGCACTAAGTGTCCAACGGTCAAAATATTTGAATTTTACACTGATGCACCATGGGTATGCATCGATGCATTGACGCTCCCAACTGAATTTATTAATTATTTTCACACTTAAACGACTATATTGACTTCACTAAGCATCCCCAATGTTCAGAATCATTTGAAGGAGTATTTAAACAAGCTTAGAAGCCATTGATCAACAACAAGAAAGAAGAAATCATAGAGAAACAAGAGAGAAAGCATCAAACATCAAGTTTGTGCAATTCAAGCCAAATTTCCTTTCAATATTCATTTTGCTTTCAAGAAACACAATTTGTGCTCAATTGTAATTATCTTTGAGTGTTCTTATCTTGTTCTAGAATTGTGCAAACAATCTACCTTGTGAGTATTTCCTTGTAAGTTTGCAAATTTGTATTTCTCTTTGAAAAAGAGTGTGCTCAAGAATTAGGGTATAATTCTTGAGGGAGTTGTAAGGTTACTCTTTGTCCTCAAAAGAAAGAACAAATTAGTGAATTTGTTGGAAAATCCTTAGTGTGGATAGCTAAGGTAGTGGACGTAGACTTTGGTTAAGAAAGTCGAACTACTCTAAATCGCTGTGCAAATCTTTTAAATTTTCTGCAAAAGCTTCCACCAAAATTTTAATTGCCAATTCACCCCCTCTTGGCCAATTCCATCGATCGATTAACTCAACACAATTCCACCTTGTTTGTTGGACTTACCCACAATGCATTAATATAGTGAAATAATGTAAACCCATTTTCCAAATTGATGGTGCATTCTTGTATGAAAAATACAAGCAAGTTTTATCATTGACAGTTGTCTAATATGGTAATCGCAACATTATTCTCATTGCATTTACCCTTGTTGAAGAAGAAGATACAAAATCTTGGGCTTTTTTCTTGAGAAATCTATGGTTACATGTTATCACGAGGGAACATATTTGTATCATTTATGACCGATGAGTTGGGATCAAAGCAGCAATGAACTCTTTGGGTCCAATGCGGAAACCCCCACACGTCCAACATCGTCTCTCTATCCGGCATATTGTTGCAAATTATCATGGCAAATATAAGAAGAATAATGAAGGACAATTAATTATACGCATGGGTATGTTACATTTTTCCCAATTTCATTTCTCACTCATTTTCATTTTTATACTAAATATTCATTTCGCTTAGGTTACGAACTCACACCTTAAACGTTTGAGGTTATGCTTCAAGAATTGTGAGGAAAAAAATGAACATGGATACAATTACATTAGTGAAATCAACAAAGAAAAATGGACAAACACATAAGATGGTGGATATCGTTATGGACATATGACAACCAACTTGGCTGAGACAATCAATTCAACATTAAAGGGGGCCCGTCATTTACCAGTAACTATTTTGGCTAAAACGATGTATTTTCATTTGGGTCAACTTTTTGTCAAGCTCGGGGACAAGCTCTTGCTTGGATACAAAATAATCATGTTTATCACCCATGATTAATAGCAGACTTATAACAAAAGGTTGCAGAATCAAACAACATGTCCGTAATAATATTTTCTTGCACCTCAAGAATTATTTCGGGTCACATAAATGGCACGACCTCTTTGAGGGATTGAATCTAACTCTTTCAGTGTTAATCTACGAGATAGATGTTGTAACTGTGTGTTTTTTAAGCTTTGAAGTATCTATGCTCCCATATCATAGCAGCTTGCTCATTTTCTCTTCAAGACTATAACCGTTATGTGGATCCCGTATACAAACTTTCACAAATATTCAAGGTATATGAATATGAGTTTCCCCCATAGGTAATGACAAAGACCCAAATGAGGTTCATACTTAACCTCCAATTATACCAGATCCAGACTTGTTAAAAAAGCCAGGTTTTCCAAAAGCTACTATAATTCATATTCGAGAGACGTCAAGACAAAACTTAAGATGTGACAATTGCAAAAACCTTGGCCACAATAGGAGAATCTGCCCATCTCTTTCATCATCACATAACCGTTGACCACCACTCTTGTAATCATATTTTCTAATGTTCCAGCTTATGTTATTTCATTTTCTTTTAGTTTCAATTAATGTGATTTCAGCTTGTTTATTTTACAAGATGACCCTTTCGTATATCTATATATTTTTTCCAATTAAATGTTTAACGTTTATTTCTTATAATCTATACAATCAACTCTAACCCTAAATCCTACAATATTTATAAATTATAAGGTTGCTTTAAATAATTTTAATGATACAAAAAGGTTTTGTAAATTATAAGGTTGTTTTTTTAATTAATCTAGGGTAAGTATAAAGCGTATGTTTAAAGATTTTTAAACCTATCTATAATGTTCGAACTCGAGTCCTAAAGGAGTAAAAACAATTCATTTACCATACAAAATTTTTATAGATTGTAATTAATTTTTATTAATTGGAGTAAAACAAGATAATATTTATAAATTATAAGGTTGCTTTAAATAATTTTAATGATACAAAAAGGTTGTAAATTGTAAGGTTTTTTTAATTAATCTAGGGTAAGTAAAAGCAGTACATGTTTAAAGATAACTTTTAAACCTATCTATAATGTTCGAACTCAAGTCCTAAAGGAGTAAACAACAATTCCTTTACCTAAATTTTTTTTATAGATTGTAAAGTATTTTTTATTAATTGGAGTAAATACAAGATAATATTTATAAATTATAAGGTTGCTTTAAATAATTTTAATGATACAAAAAGGTTTGTAAATGTAAGGTGTTTTTTAATTAATCTAGGGGAAGTATAAAGTAGTATTTGTTTAAAGATAACTTTTAACCTATTATAATGTTCGAATTCGAGTCCTAAAGGAGTAACAACAATTCCTTTACCATACAAAAATTTTATAGATTGTAAAGTTTTTTTATTAATTTGGAGTAAATACAAGATAATATTTATAAATTATAGGTTGCTTTAAATAATTTTAATGATACAAAAAGGTTTGTAAATTGTAAGGTTGTTTTTTAATTAATCTAGGGGAATATAAAGTAGTATTTGTTTAAAGATAACTTTTAACCTATTATAATGTTCGAATTCGAGTCCTAAAGGAGTAACAACAATTCCTTTACCATACAAAAATTTTTTATAGATTGTAAAGTATTTTTATTAATTTGGAGTAAATACAAGATAATATTTATAAATTTAAGGTTGCTTTAAATAATTTTAATGATACAAAAAGGTTTGTAAATTGTAAGGTTGTTTTTTTAATTAATCTAGGGTAGTATAAAGTAGTATTGTTTAAAGATAATTTTTAAACCTATCTATAATGTTCGAACTCGAGTCCTAAAGGAGTAACAACAATTCCTTTATCATACAAAAAAATTTATAGATTATAAAGTTTTTTTTATTAATTTGGAGTAAATACATGTTAATATTTATAAATTATAAGGTTGCTTTAAATAAAATCTCATGGAAATGTTGGGGTGTGTGTTATATATATATATATGCGTTTGTCAATATAAACTATGATAGATGCACGAAGATCTGAGCACTGCCTTCAGTCTTTCAACATCAAAAGGAAATAAAAAACTGTCGCCAGTTAACACTATGCAGCGCTGCTGTGGATTCACCGAGGTTGTCGCACTGTGTTTGCTCTTGTTGTTGGAATGTCTAAAGGTGGTGGTAAGATCTCTATTCCACATAATGTTACCGACCTACATTGGCATCCGGCTACCGCCACTTGGTACGGCAGTCCCAACGGTGATGGTAGCGACGGTAAGATCTGTAATAGAGTTTTGTTAATCCAGTGCTCAATTATTGCCTTAATTTACTTTTCCTAGCTGAATTATATAAAACTCTTGTCTCTATTCTTAGGCGGAGCTTGTGGGTACGGATCGTTAGTCGACGTGAGGCCATTGAAGGCCAGAGTGGGTGCGGTGAGCCGGTGCTGTTCAGGAACGGAGAAGGGTGTGGAGCTTGCTACAAAGTTAAGTGCCTGACAAGAGCATGCTCAAAGAGGCCCGTCACCATCATTGTAATGGACAGGAGCCCTCCAGGGCCTGGCGTCATCGGCCGCACCCACTTCGACTTAAGCGGCGCGGCCTTTGGTCACATGGCTGTACGAGGTCGGAGTGCACAGCTTAGGAACCGAGGTGAACTCCGAGTCTCGTATAGAAGGTGCGTGCTCTAGTGTTTTCGTTAGTCTTTCAACTATTCAATTTAAAATTGTAAACTGAATGATTTGTTGAATTGAAAATTTTAGGACCCATGTAAATATCCAGGGAAGAGTATTGCATTCCATGTTAATGCAGGTTCAACGGCGTATTGGCTATCTCTTTTGATTGAATTTGAGGATGGAGATGGAGATATTGGGTCGATGCATTTAAGAGAAGCAAATTCTGAAGAATGGTTAAAGATGGATCATCTATGGGGAGCAAATTGGAATATAAATGGGGGACCTTGAAGGGACCATTCTCTGTGAAACTAACAACATATCAACAAGAAGAACACTGTCTGCAAGGGATGTGATTCCCAGAAATTGGACGCCCAAAGCGACTTACACTCGCCTTAACTTCCTCTGAGTTTTGGCCCATCACAATAAGGGAACTAAGATTATGATACCAAAAATATTCCTTGTTCCTCTTTTGTTCGCTTGGACAGCATAATAACACCCAAAGTCTCCTTCTTTTGCTTTTTTCCACGATGGTTTCCCTCACCTCTGCGTGCCAAGGCCTTTCTAGCCATCTCCAAAGGAGAGAGTGCTTTAGTGCCTGTTAAATGTCATTTATGTTTGAAGAATGTAAGTTTCTGGTTCTGTTGGGTTTTAAGTACTACTTTTAATGTAAATAAGGGGCATTTAATGTAAAATGTTATTTATGTTTAAAATTATTTATAATCCTCATTCTCAGATCAAAATTAATTGCTACACTCGAATCTACAACTTCCTATCTATTATTGCTTAATCAGCTCAGTAGAACAAAATTTTAGGTGTGCGGTGGATGAAACTATTCAGCCACATGCAAATTGGTGGGGACTAATGGTGTGAGTTGTGACAAGATGTCTGTGACCACCACAACCGTGGGTGGAGATCCCATTGAATCTCACTCAAAATGAAATGCGCTAATGGGATTGTTAAAGGCAGAGTAATATACTGTTAAAAAATTGCGTGACCGAAAACTTAATAACATAATAAAATCAATAAAGCGTTACCTATTATATTGATAGATTAATAATGTTGTAGGTAGAAATATGAAAAATTATTAAAATTTGATAATCGGTAAACTTTGATTATCGGTAGGTATCGATACATATATAAGTGTTCAGACTTATTTCACTGTGGAAAACATTAATTTAGGATTATCTTTGAGTGAATTTAAGATATTAATTTTGTAATTATATTGTCTAATGATTTATTTTTATATACGATATATTATTCTTAAATTAAATAATAAACATAGATATTACATATTTATTATTATTTTTGGTTAAAATTATTAAATTTAAATCTAAATAATATTTTATAAATATCTAAACAATTAAATAATTTTTTGTATAAATGAAATTATTAAATTAATATTGTAGATGGAAAACATGAAGTAATATTAAAAAATTTTGAAACATAAATTACATAACTTTCAACAAAGTATCGATACATGTAGAAAAAGTATCGATACTTTTAACATATCCGGTAGATCTTTACCGTTTTTGTCATAATGAAACTGATTTTGTCATATTTTTATGTTATATTGTTATGTATCGATACATTTTTATAAAGTATCGATACTTTAACATATCCGGTATCTCTTTACCGATTTTGTCATAATGAAACTGATTTTGTCATATTTTTACTGTTATATTATTATGTATCGATATATTTTTATAAAGTATCGATACTTTTAACATATCCGTCTCTTTACCGGTTTTTCATAATGAAACTGGTTTTGTCATTTTAGCTGTTATATTGTTATGTATCGATATATTTTTATAAAGTATCAATACTTTTAACATATCTGGTAGCTCTTTACCGGTTTTATCATAATGAAACTGATTTTGTTATATTTTTACATGTTATATTGTTATGTATCGATACATTTTTATAAAGTATCGATACTTTATAGGCGCTATTACTGTTTTTCTTTTAAATTCCAAAAGTGTCGATACTTATTTAAATGGAATCGATACTTTCAACATATGGTAGGTAGTTTAATGTAATAGGTAGCACCTATTTTTTTACCGTTTATATTATTAGCAACCTTAAAAAAAACAGGCAGGTATTGTAATGTAATAGGTATCGCCTATTTTTTTTACCGTTTATATTATTAGCAACCTTCAAAAAAACCGGTAAGTATTTTAATGTAATAGGTAGCGCCTATTTTATTTTACTGTTTACATTATTAGCAATCTTCAAAAAAACCAGTAGATATTTTAATGTAATATATAGCGCCTATTTTTTTTACCGTTTACATTATTAGAAACCTTAAAAAATTGGTAGGTATTTTAATGTAATAGGTAGCGCCTATTTTATATTTCCGGTTAAATCATATAACATTTACGATATAGATTTTAACCGGTCACTTATTTAATCATATCTTTTTAACCGTTTTTTAACCGGCTCACAGCAGAACTTCCCAATGAAAAGATTACTTGGAATTCTTTTTTTAGTCGGGAAATATTATTTAAAAATATTTAATTATTCAATATTAAACATTTATAATTCTATGATGTTAGAATTTAAAATTTTAAAAGATATTAATAATCTCTTATCTATTGAGATTTTTTGATCATGCATAATATAATTCTTCTATTACCATATTATGATACGAAAATTATGAATTTAATTGATATTTAGTCTTAGTATTTTTATGTTTAATAAAAAGAGTTTTATCATAATAAAAAATAAAAAGATTACCTCATTGAATGTAATACTGAATAAAAAAAAACACTTGTTAATAATGTCCTAAAGGGAGAAGCTTGCACTAGTAAAAAGCTTCCCTCCATTTTTAAAATCAAATCACAAGGCAAGAAAGAGTGTCTACAGATGATGTTGCAGACTCAACATCCCATCCAAGGCCTCTGTTAGCTCTTATTATCCATAGAGAATAGCTAATGGAAACTTTAAAAAACAAAACAAAAGGGAAATTAAGGTTTGGCATCAGGATTGTGTTTCACTTTGTTGTCTGCCTCAGCCGAAGCTGAAGTCTCCGGCTTTGGTTGTCCAGAGCCACCATTAGCAGCAGGAGCAGCATCCTTCCCTAGTGAAGCGGGTTTATTTCTCCAGCAGAATCTGCTGCTGCTTTTGAACCTAACTTCCCATTCTTGGCGTCCTTTCTTCCTTTTCATCTTTATTTTCCTTTCCTTCTTTGCTATCTTTGGGTGGAGGGATCATATGGGGCGGAGGATTTGTTTAAGCTTAACGAAAATCTGCCTCATCCTCGAGAGATCAGTAGGTTTCCCCGGTTTGGACCATGAATCACCGAAGCCGATGGAGTTCTATCGGAATCTTTGTCTTTCCTTCCTCTCTTCTCTCGATATTAGCCACCTCTCGAGGAATGATCTCGGCTATTGCTTTCCAGTAATGCAGGTGAGCGTATTTGTGGAACTTCTCTTGATTAGCTAAGTATAGCTGCATATCAACAATACGAATAGATCGGTTCAGTTCTTCTTCAGGCACCTAAAGAAGTGAAGAGAATCGGATAATCATAAATTCTTGTTTCTTCTACCTTCTCTCTTTCCCTGTTGTTAGCCTTATTGGTTTCGCAATTCTGATTCCTTTTCTCGTAAACGATCGTTTGTACTCATCTGCTTCGGCGATTATCTGATCCCTCATCTCCCCTCTCTTTTTTCCCTTCTCCTCCAGATGAATGGCGTTTAAGCTGCACCGGAAGGAATTTAAAAAACAATGAATGAAATGAGAAATTCCGAAGAGAAGGGAAAACAAAACAAACCGTCGCCATTCCCCGCGCGCGAAGTTTTCCTCTTGCATCTGATCAGGCGGAGGCAACAGCGGCCCTTCAGAGGCGAAAATACTATCCTCATCGTCATCAACATCATGACCACGATCACCACCGCCGCCATCAGGAATGCCACCATCCATCGCAGACCCTCCAAAAGGGGTCATGTACTCAGCGTTGGACGCCGACAATCCGAACCCATACACGTCCGGGGAAGGTGGCTCGTTATGATTGTCGATGTTATCATCAATGTTGTTATTGTTAGTGACGATATACCCAAGGTTTTGAATTGGCTCCGACTGTGGTGTGAGCGATGTAAGTGGTAGTATCGGCGGTGAGATCATCGTCAGGGAAAGCTTGTGGAGGAGGGAAAGAGGAGGAATCGTAGGCTCCGATGTTTGAGGCATGGTTTTCGAAAGAGCGAGAAGAGGAATTAATGTCTTCTCCTCCATCGTTGTTCATGGCACTGAAGGACTCCATTGATGCCTAAAAGTTTTGGTTACGTTGTAGGGGGTTTGAGTTATTTTTGCTCAGAATACATCGCTATATTCGGATCAAGAGAGAGGGAAGAGGGAGTTCGTTGGCTCTGATATCACTACATATATTACTAACTTTTCCATCAGTTGGAGCAGATAAATCGGTGGACCCATTCGAAATCCAAAGAAAGAAGGGCTACTAGTATTATGGCCTAAGACTAAATCCAACAGCTTTTTGGGTTATAGCTTTCATTAATCTTCAATGTTTTCCTCTAACATAAAGTATCTGATTCGGAACGAAATATCCAATTCCAAATCAAAGAAAGTGAACGGGATAGCTAATGCTTGAGCTGTTCTCACCCTGGCAAGGAAGAAGAATCCACAACAACCTGAACTCTGGCTTGCTGCTATACGAGCCGACCGAGGCAAGACATGACTACAAAAAGGAAGCCGATATCTTAATGCCAAAGGCATTAAAAGAGTGTCCAAATAGTGGTATATAGTGAGCTGCATCTATTGAGATGGTTCCAAGGCCACAACGTAAAACCAAGAGCATGGATGATCCCCATGTAGTATTGAACAACGCCAATTGTCTTGGTGAAACCATTGATCTAGTTTCCAGCAGTGAACTGTATTAAAATGTGCAGACACAGTGAACTGTAGTGTACCATACACGTTAGGGCTTCACTTTCGATGCGACGAATGCGGATGACCGAACAGGAAAAAGACAATGGCGAGGATGGATCCATATTTGTCGTAAAATGTCTTGAGAATTTAAGGGTGTCTTTGTAAAGTCGGTGCAAATCGACTCCCACCCAATCATCGCTTCCCACGTCGTTATTTTCCCTCGGACGACAATAATAACAATTAAAAGTTTTATAACACTTTGGTCGATTAGAAAAATATATTTTATTAAGTTTTACACTTTTACATTCTATGTAGTAAAACAAAAGAAGAGAAGAATATGGTTATAT